TCATATTTGGAATTTATTTATTTATTTAGGGGGACTTCTATGGCGCCCCATTCACCGAAGCCTCGGGGCGGCTCACAAACCGCCCTGGCCAAAGAATAAAATGAATAAATAATATTAACAATTAAAATAACATTTGAATAAAAAGGTCTTCGCCTGGCGCCGAAAATCAAATAACAATGGCGCCAGGCGGACCTCTCTGGGGAGCGTATTCCATAGATTGGGCGCCACCGCAGAGAAAGCCCTCCTCCGAGTACCTACCCTCCTAATTTCCTTCACAGAGGGATCCTGGAGAAGGGCCTCTCCCGCTGATCTTAAGGGGCGGGCGGGCATATATGGATGTAAATTAACAGTAAAAGGGTTATCTAGTAGTTATGTAGGGAGAAGAAGCTAGCATTGTATCTCTGGCCTACAAGCCACTGAGTGTATTTTTTAATTTACTAATGCTTTATGCATAAAGGAGTCGATCTGAGGGAAGACTGTAAATAAAACTATCTTTTATTTGCAGTAGAAAAAGGAGTGGAGGGGGATCATCACAAACTGATTCAGTAATATAAATATTAAAAAGGAGAATCAATATAGCGGGTTTAGCTATCCTAGTTTCCTTTTTTCCTTTCTGTTTTTCCAATGAGCGGGTTGATTTTCCAATCTTTAGCGTATAACTGAATGTTTTGCACGCTATGAACATTAATGGGTGGTTTTTTGTTTGTTGGTTTTTGCATTAAACCCTTTAAAACAATCTGGAAACTTCTGCTTTTCCAGAATGCAGCTGCTAGGAAGCTAAGACACTGGAACATTGCTCGAGCCTGCACCAATCCTCTTATCATTTGCATGGGTTTCCCGTCAAGTTCCAGGTTCAATTAAAGATTAAAGTTTTAAACTTTCAGCCCTAAGTGGCCAGCAACCACGGTGTGTCAAAAAGCATTTCCTTTCATATTAGCCCGCCTGAGACTTTCACTTCAAAACACAGGCCTTTCTCCTCCTTCCCTCACCCTCAGAGATGTGCTAGGTGCATATGAAAGTTAGGTCCCATTCGGTTGTGGCACCAAAATTGTGGAAGAGCCTCCAGAGAGGGGTTCACTTAGTCCCATTACTCTGTTACTTCAGAAAGCTTTTCAGTAAACTTGGTCACCTGTTTATGGTGATGTTTTGTAGCTCACGGGCTGTGTTGTTTCATATAGTTTTTGTTCTAAGCTACCCTGGGTGTTTCATATATAGAAAAGGCAAGGTGGAAATCTGCTGTGTAAATAATTCCACAAAGTTACTAGCCCGCAAAACCATTTACTAGCTTGCTAGGAGGCTAGTAGCCTACATTTGTGAGCTGGCCATAGAATGGGAGATGCACCTTCCTCCATAGCTATGTAGTCTCTTTGCAAACGAGTAAAAAAGTAGCCTGGCAGAAGAAGGACAGAACGATCCATCATTCCCCTGTCAGCCTGCTATGCTTTCATGCTGGTTGAGGAGGAAAGGGCTTCCCTTCATCTGCCAGCTAGAGGAGGAGGGAAGGAATTCCATGCATGGAATTCATTCACCTGCATTACATTCCTGGTCTCTTATGGCTTCCAGGCAAGTGGTTAAATGCAAGACTTATTCTCCTGCTAAGTCAAATGAGAGTTTTAGAGGTATTGGACTATTTAACCAAAGAACAGATCTCATGAGGCACAGCATATTATAGTCACAATGTGACTTTTTGCGTTAGAGAACACAAATGGAGTGTGGGATGGGGGAGCAGTAAAAAGCAAAGCCCCCTACCATGAAAGGGTTAGTGGGTACGTTTCTCTTTGTGTCTTTTCATCTGCAGTGGTGAATCACCTGCTGACAGTTCTGTGAATGAGCTTTGCAGAGTGCCTGACTGGGAGGGGCGATAGGTCAGTGGCAGGGCCCCTGCTATGGATGCAGAAGGCCCCAGGTCCCACCCTCAGCACCTCCCAGCATGGCAAGAAGAACTGCCTGAGACCCTGGATAGCTGCTGCCAGTTAGTATCAACAGTACTGAGTGGGATAGACCAATGGTCTGATTCCATATAAGGCAGCTTCTTATGTTCTATTTGCATAGCTGTGCACCTTATTTGCATAACATGCAAATTATCCTCCACGGATGTGTGGGTTTCCCTGCCTGCCTTTAACATAGTTCTGTTTTTTTTCCACTCCCACCCACCAAAGCTTGGAATGCCAGGAATGTGTTGCCTGGCATTTGAGATACAATCTGAAAAGGCATGGAGGGGCAGCAAACCCCTGGAACTGAAGAGCTGATGCTAGGCAGTTGCTGCCTCTTGGGAGACAGGCCCAGCCACACCTCCCACCTTCCAAATGCAGACTAGCCATCAAAAGATGCATTGTGCATTGAGAGGCTGTTTTTCCAGAGACTAACAGAGCCCTCTTGAATGGCTGATGCAGTAGACTGCATTGGTCTTGCCCTGGAGTAGTCAGAAAGGAGCAATTGCTGGCTTTGGGGCTGGATGGGATGGTGGACACATGGGCTGCTGTTTTGGCTTGCCTTTCCAGAAGAAATTTTCACTGTGGTCCACAGGTGAGTTACCCACAGCTCCTTCATGCTACGGCATAGTGGTGCTTTCAGGTCTTGTGTATATATTTGCTTTAAGCCTTCTATGACAACTTTGCATGAGCAGCTAAGCAGCACAGCAAAATAAGAACAAATTTAGGCTTGTACCGTTTGCTTCCTGCAGTGTTAGCAGCAGCTCCTGGGTTGAGGGGGTAGAATCATCCCCATAAATGGGAAGGACTGTTTATTCATTTTACATTTCTGGTGCTGGATTATTATGGTTTCCTTCATGGAAAATAGATTGTATGCTCAGCTCCCATGTCTCCTGCTTCTAAGAATCTTAATCTAGTTTTCAGAAGGCACATGAAGAGGATGTTGAGTGAGGCCTGTCTCCCTCCCCCTCATCAGCCAAGCATATTGCATTTTAGGGGTAAGGGCTCGCCAGTACATTATGGCAAGATGCAATGACCTGGAACCAATGGACATGGCACATTTTTGTGTCATTACTGTTTTACTTTGAACCATTCATAAGTTCACAACGTCTGCCATGACGTTTCCCAGCTTGAGTACCATTTTTTCCCAAATTAAAACTGCCTACTCCCTAGTCTTTATAAGGAAGATATTTTTCTGATCCAAAAAACACATTACTGTAAGGCCTTTATTAGGCTAACTCAGAGGTCAAAATATTGCATTAATATGGATTTTTTCCCCTTATGGCCAACATTTGCCTTTTGTTTTTGTTTTTTTCTGTTCACTGAGTTTCTGCTTTCTGCATCTTCTTCAGCTCTACAGTGTCTATTTAGAAAGGTTGTGTGCAGCTGTACCCACACAATAGTATAATGGCTCAAGTCACTTATGTATGACATTCTGATAAGTGTCATTTTATGCCCAGCCTTTATTCCCATCATTCCCAGCATGGAATTTTCTGTTTTCATGGCTGCAGAACAATAACTTGTGCAGTCTTGATTTTCCCTTGAAAGGGAGACATGGCATAAGGAAACTCATAGTAACAACCTGAGAAATCCTTAGTTAGTGACTGTCATTGTAGCTGTAATAGAAGCTGAGCATTTGAATTAGTCAAGAATAATCCAGGTTAGAGAATATGAATGATGCATTTGCTCTTCCTTATAATGGTTTCTGCTTGGGAAGGAACAAGTTATATGAGCTAAGAGCTATTTTACTCTGTGATTTTTTAATGCATTTCAAATATACTGTAGGTACAAATATGTATGCTCTGCCTTCCGTTCTGCCTTAAGGAATGAAGACTTGGATCAGGTTGGCTTAAATTAGGAGAATTTTTTTTAATCCATGTCGGCATTTGTAGCATATTGGCCTCTACAGGTTCATTTCTTCCTCTGTCACTCAGGATTAGGGATATATCAGAAATTCATGTCAGTCTGTTTTTGATCAGTATTTACCCAGTTCACAAAAGACTTCAATGCAGTTTGCAGCTGAAATTTGTTTCCAGGCTTGCAATGTAATTTGTGACCTCCACCCACTTCCCCCTCAAAAAAAAATGAAGTACTTGTATATATTTGAAAAAAAAAACCATACATTTGGGAAAATATTAATTTTTGCATGTAAAATGAAAATAAAAGCTTGCAATCTGATGCAGACTGTAGTTGAAATAAGCTTCCGGACAGAATCTGGAGAACTTCCACAAGGTAAAGTTTTGCTGATTAGCACATCTCTACTTAGGCTACATCAGAAACGTAGATGTTTGGGAGAATGCATGACACAGTTCCTTTCCATGGTTATTTTGCGCAAGTTCTCAGAAGTGTGAATGGCATGGAAAAGAGCTATATGGCTCCCTATGTGTGGTTTGGGGATGCTGAGCAACACAATCCAGGATCCATGATAGGGCTCCCAAGTTGCGATGGTTGTATCAGAATTGCCAAGTGGTGACTTACATACTTGGATAAATCATCACAGATTGGATTTCCATATCACTACAAAACCTGCCCTTTCCCATAGAGTTTGTTCACACATGCAGGTCATTGATAGAAACTGTACATTGTACGATAATCAAGTGTGAAGAAAACCAGTGATATACATGACTCAGTGAACCAGCCTTTAGGCCGATGCCTGTTTGAAGCATCAGGATTTCCTTTTCATGCATTCTCAGTTTTAATTGGTATAAGCACACAGTAAACTGAAATTAAGGATGTGTTACAAATTTGTTTCTGTAGGAATCTCACAAGAACCATTAGCAGAATCTATTTTAACAGAAAGTGCCTATTTTCAGGATAGTTTTTTAAACTTTAAAACTAATTTCAGTCCTAAACACATCTAGTTCCCCATTTAAAAACCATTAGGATTAAAATGGAATATGGATGGCAAAGGAGGTGGTGGGCAAACACTATGTGTGTGTATGAGAGAGGGAGAGAACAAGAGCGATCCCATTTGTGATAGCAAATATTTAATTCCTCTGAATGATCTGAAATGAGCAATGCCGTTTTATTCTGAATTTCATCTTACCCATGGCTCTATTCATCCTCCAGGTGAAGAGCTGTCTTCTTGTTCATCTGGCCAACCTGTGTTCCTGGCCAGTTGGTCCAATCTGCAACAGGGCACAGCAGAACCTGCAGAAACATGTTTCCAAAAGAAGAGGATGGCATCAGGTACTGCTAAAAAAAGGTCTTGCTCTTTACCTGCGGAAGTGTGTGTGTCAGAGAGGATGAGATATTACTGTCTTGTGGTGAACTTGGGACTTTCTTAGTCATATTATGGGTAGAACATGTGCTGTAGAAAGAATCTGAAGGCTTAGTCCAGTAGCAACTGGGTTTACAAAGAAAGTACTTTATAGTGGCCAAGAGTGAGACATACACACTAACACTGTATTTGTTTAGTCTTGTCCATATTTGTATATATGTACCCTTTCTTTACTCTGTGTTTATGTACACATGCACACATAATAATGAGCTTAGAATTATGAGTTAAATCGGAGGTGGGCGACTCATGGCCTCGCAGAAGTTTGGTTTACAACTTATTTTTATTGATTCATTTATTAAATTTCTGTTTGTCCCGATAGCCAGCATTCTCTGTGTGGTTCACAACAGGTAGAACAATAAAATACAACATGATAACATATAATATAAAACCCAAAATAAATCCTGGCAGCAGTGCAAAGATTTAAAACTCCAGTTACAGATTTAAAACAACAGAAACTGAAAGACTACATGCCTGGGAGGTTAAGGTCTTCACCTGGCCTTGAAAGGAGCACTACACAGGCACCAGGTAGGGAAGCTCTTTCTGTACCAGGGTGCTGCAAAAGAAAAATCTCTATGCTTTTAACACTACTGAACATAGTGAGTGATGAGGAATGATGGGAATTGTAGGCCAAAGAATCTGAAGAGCCATAAGTTGACTACTGCTGAGCAAAATACTGGCCCTGCGTTAAATAGTGTATTAGAGCCACTTTGTGTAATGCCTGTGTTAGGTCAACCAAATGATCACAAGCAATGTGCATGCTTTTGAGATCTCCAGAAATTACATGTTTTGGACTGATCATTTGGCTGACTTAATGAAAGTATTACACTAATAAGGATTTTGAGATTTTTCTTCTGGTCAATGTGGCTACTCTTTGTGTGTTTTGCTTTTTACATGGAAAGTCTGTTCACTGTAGCTATCCCAGTATTACACTAGTGTTATTCAGAGGAAGCAAATGAACTGTGAAAAGCAGACAGATATCTCTAAATATTTTGGGTGTGCTATGAAAGCATCAGTTTGCCAAAGCTTCCTGGTATACATCTATTACATTTTTAGGAAATACACATCCATTTCATTCTCGCCATGTTTCCTGTAGGAAATAGCTGGTGTTATTCTAGTTCAGGCTTAGCAAACGTGGTTGCCCCATGAAATGTGGAGTCGCCTCTTGCTCACAATTCAGTACAGCTCGCCACTGGTGGTGGTGGTGTTCTGTCCAGGCTTTTGCCTTTCCAGATGCTGGCAAAGGTGTGACGGGTGAAGCAGTGACACTGCAAGTATGTAGTTTGGAAGCTCCATGCCTGTCTCAGTTTCAGTTTCTGCCACCGGATCATTTCAGCTTCTTGGGGATACTTCCCATGCACTTCATTAGCTCATCTGTAGAACGGGACTGGTGAGACTGCTTTAAAACTCCTCCAAGGACAGCAGATGACAAAGGGAAATGTCATTTTCTTGTAAGAAAAGTCTGCCAAATTATCATTTGCTGAGCCGTCTTTTTCTGTTTGTAGATATAATATGGTTTACTGTTCCATATAAATCAGATTACAGTTTGTTTTACAGACTAGCATGACTGACACCGGATAGGGATCATTTAAGTGAACCAACTTACAAAAGCATGCCATTGTTTGTGGCCCATAATTTTTGTCTGATAAGCCCAATCTACCCACCGACATGGCCCATTTTTTCAGTCCTGTTAGTTTGACTCAGCTGGGGAAGAGCATGCCGGATTTTTTACAGTTGGTGTCAGACATCATTAATGTAATTGCTGCTCAAATTCCTTCATTCTAGGAGCTTTAGGGCCATGCTTGATGATGTGTAAACCCTGTTAGATTTTTTCAGATCGTAGCAGTTACGGGATATCTGCATTTCCCCCAGAAAACTGATGGGCAAAAGCTTATGCAAATCAACATCTTTTCTTGAAGAACTGCAGTAACTAGGAGGCCCCCTTTCCCTGGTGTGGTTTCTACAGACTCCCGTTGCTACCCAGATCAGCATGAAAGTGAGAAAAGGAATCCACAGCGGCCACTGAGAAAGCGCATGGCTGTTATAGAGAATTTCTGGAGCGGGGGCATAGTTATATAGGGACCTTTCTTCTTTTGTTTGTTTGGAGTCGGAGTTACTCTTCCAACTTGACCTGTCTTTTTATTTATTGAAAACTTTTCAACCACACCTCTGCACTTTGCTCAAGGTGACTTGCAAGAAACCTATTATAGAACTTTAAAATAAACAGATAGTAACACAGCTAAAAATGAAGAAGTTCAGCAAATAACAGCCACCTAGCCCTCCCCCAGCAGGTCTGTTCAGTCACTTTAGCAGCCATGGCCAATTCAGCTTCCAAAAGATTGCCTAAATAAATAGGACTCCTTATGCCTCCTGAATCCTAACAAGGGGGCACGTTGACCACAAGCTTTCTCTGGTAGTTTGTTCCAAAGTCTTAGCGCTAAAGATAGACAAATCTGCATTTTATTTATTTATTTTAAAGTTTTATATGCCATCCTTCACTAAAAGTCCCAGGACAGTAGTATAATGAAATAAAAGTACAGCATCAGACAACAAATTCAAATAAAACCCCATCTTAAAACACTTAAACACTTAAAAATCAATCTAGCAATTTGTATCATGTTTGTAACCATAGTTTCATTCCATTTCTGCATGACTTTTGGAATTGTTTAAACGATATATTTAAATATGTACTCATATGTCTTTTAATAAATACTGAGATCTGTATTTTCTCTCAAAATCTACATTTATATCCATGTTTTCATATGACTAAACTGACAAAAGCTGAAATGTAACCTTCAAGGGAATACGAAATCCAAGGGACCATTAAGTTCCACTGTGCTCCTTAGGCTAAGAGGAACAGATCAGGACCTTCATGCAGGACTTTGCAAAGACTGAATTCCTCAAGCATCCCTACTCAGCGTGACTATAGAAAAGGCCCTCCTCTAAGCTGGCCTTCCCCAGTTTGGTGCCTTTCAGATGTGTCAAATGATAACTGGCATCATCCCCGCACTGACTGTTTCAGTCCTCGTAGTTGAGCAAAGCCCAGTCCTAACTGGGATGGGTGGGTTATATTGAGACATCTGTAACACAGTGGTGGGCAGAAGGTAAATCTGGATCAGAAAGCGTTACTTCTAAACCTTTATTCCTGGCTCCATTTGAAGAAACCTGGCCTTCCAAAAAGCAAAATAGATTCTGCAAGTCTGAGGGCTGCCCATCCCTGCTATAGTCAATACACATTGAGCATCATTTATATGCTCCCCTACCTGCCAGGAGTGTAAAATTCACCAGGTAGCTAAATTCTGCACTTTAATCTTTGAGACACAGACCAAGACTGGGATTCACCGTTTCTTTCTTCGTCCTCCTAGAATGGTGGCTTGTTCTAGATATTTAAAAGGCCATAAAGCAGCACATTGTTTACTTTCAGGAATGTTAATAGGAGCCCAGGCTTATGGCAGCAGTGTCCCTACTCCCTACTCCCACTGAACAGTCACCAGAGAGTCATAATTTTTATATATAATTTTCATTCATTCATTCTAAAGGGATTCTTTCCCACCAGAAGTAGCCCTATTTAGGCAGCTCTGGGACTCAGTCCAAAATCCACCACCACATCATACATATCTAATCCTGTTGATTTCAGTGGGTTTAAACATATCTATGTTAGATTTAGACCAATGGGTTGACCCTGATGTTGGTAAGGAGTAGAAGTCAGTGATAAGAACAAAGGGAGGTAGTGGCCCTCTAGGGAAGAAACAGGCCCTTGTTTTTCCGGTTTGGCAAGGGACATAGCTCTGTGCCAGTACAGCAGCAGTGAGCTGAGGGTAGACTAGACTTCCAGATATTTTCAGCTTCAGCTCCCAGAAGCCTTTGCTAGCATGACCAATGGTCAGGAATGCTGGGAGCTGATGTTCAAAAACATCTGGAGTTTTCCTTTATGCCCTCCCCATTAGCAGGGAATAGAGGTACAGAGTTCTAGGTTCCTTCAAAAATTTAAAAGTCCGTAGGTAGTACAAATGGGAAAGACTTGTGCTTGAGATTCTGGGGAGCTGCTGCTACTCCAAGACAAAACCTCTGGGCTTGATTGTCCATTGGTCTGAGGAATGTTTGGCAGCTCTTTATCTCCCCGTGCCCCCTTTCATTATGCCCTGCTTTACCTCCTCTGAAAAGTTGACAGTGGTCCTTCTGCCTGCATGGTGACTTGTCAGGTAATCCCAGGGAACTGGATCCAGGAAGTCAGCCTGCACAGATAGGAGAGGGCACTCTGGAAACTGAGTCCGTGTCACTGGCAGTAGGGGAAGGGTTCCCAAATGGTAAGTTTTGTCTAATTACTGCTTTATGTTTTTAACATCTGTAATGAGAAAGAGAGAGAGAGGATCAAGGCAAATCTCCAGAGCACTGCCTCTGCAACATTTCGAAAGATTAAGAATGCAGCATAAAAAGAGAAGGGAGAAAGGGAAACACAGTTTGTAGACGGTCAAATCTATACTTCCAAAAGTAGGTGCAGAAGTCAGCAAAAATGGTCAAGTGATGTGCTGATGTCCTGTTTCATCCAATCTCTTTCCAGTAGCTAATGTCACCCAGAGTTTTTGTATGAAGTCAAATTAGACCTTAAGTATATGACTCAATAGAAAAAGAAATTCTCAGATTCTGGGTCTTAGCCCAAAATCTACCACCATGTCAGACATGCCTGATCTTGTTGATTTCGGTGGGTTCAGATGTGTCCTCAATGAGCTTAGCTTTAGAAAAGAAGGGTGCTGCAAAATTTAAACAAATCTGTGTTGAAAATGCTGCACAAATCCTGACAGTGAATGTTTCTGAACAAGGCGGAGGGGGACATGCTGACACTGCCAGCACTCTTGTGGAAGTAGGAGCAAGGAGAGGTCTTCAGCACTGATCCTGAGGGTGCAACAGCTGGTTCCAGGTGTATATTAATCCCTTTTAACTGATTGCAGCAACTGAGAGAGGGATGGGGAAAAAAGCAAGTCGGCATGAATTGCAGTGATTCCTTTATACTTCACCTCAGGGGAAGGAAGTGAAGGAGACTTTTTTACCATGCTAAGTATATTAGATTGGATCCAACAAGCATCTTTTTTTGTAAGTTGGCTTGTCCCTCCTAAGCCCTGGCAGGCATTTCAAAAAACAGCACCTCTTGCCTGTTCACTAGAGGGAGAGGTCATGCAAGCAGATTAAACTGAAAAATTCAGCATGTTCAGTGCTGTTTGCTATGTTTCAGCTTCTTGCATAAGGGGGTAAAGGGTACTGAAATAGGGAAAGATTGAAAGTGACAGATGTCGCAATAGAAGCACTGCTGGAACACCTCCCCAAAACCACCCTGGAGTCACTCCAGCTGGTCCAGGAACAAGACTTTAAATTCGCCTTATTGCTTGCCTGCAGGTATCTGACCTTTGGGATGGGGTCTCTGAGTCATAAACCTGTTATTTTAATGTAGGACATCTTGCAGGATAATGGAGATTTTGCTTTTACATTTCTGTCTGCCACCATATATCAGTATATCTATCCTCTTTATTGTAGCATATCTACATGAGTACCATTATCTTCTTCTTCTTCTTCCTTAGGGTCAAGAGAGATACTACTTTAAATCTGTATCAACTTCCCTCTCCCATTTTTATTATAGAGCAGGTGCAGCCCCTTTTATCCAGAGTAGGAACCTTACATGGGGGAAGTGGGCTTTTAACACCTGGATCAGGCCCCATGCACCTACCCTTGAGTAAAAATGAAAATCGAGGGATACTGCTGCTAGCTAGGAATGATGTTTTTTGCTCTAAAAGTTGTTAGATTGATTGAGCTGTGGTCCATGCAGAATGATGCTGGTGGGGAAAGGTAGTTCTAAATAAAACGTTTTCTCTTCTTTAACCACCTGTTTGTTTGTCTTTTCTATTTTTAATTTGAAGAGATTTCCCTCTCGTTTTATGTCAAGAGTCGCTCTGGACAGGGCCTCAATCCTCAGCTACACGAGGCCGCAAGAAAGAAGCTGTGGGCCCTGGAAAATGACGATAAAGACGTCTGTGCTCTGTTCAAGGTACAACTATTCCTCCTGCTTGCTTTCTGAAGCATCAGATGTTGCGATAACACAAGCTGATACTGGGTCAGACCACTGAGCCATCTTGCCCTGAAAGAAACAGCTGCAGTGCTTCACGACCTCAAAGAGAGGCCTTCGCCAGACTGCCTGTCTGTGATTGTTGTTTCCTTGCAAGACCCAAAGTTGCCATCTGGGGCACTCTGCATGCTAAGCATTCACTCTCGGACTGAGCTGTGGCCTCTGCTGGCATTCTTGGGCATAACTGCATGAAGCAGCCGGGGATGTATTGTCAACATCTTTTGTCGCTCCCCCGACATCTATCATTGTACCAACTGTGCTGACGGGACTGCAGGGAGGTGTGGAAATCACAGCTGACAACAAAGACATAGGATGAAAATGACTTTTAAAAATGTGTACCTTTTCTAAACCCTACCTTTCCTCCAAGGAACTTGGGGGGTTTGCCCTGGATTACAGTGACAGTTGGTAACTGAACTAAGGTCAACCAGCAAATTCGTGGCTGTGGAGGCTTTAGCCAGGGACTTTTTAAAAAGTTTTAGTCCAACACTTTTATCCAGGGGTAAACAATGTCATAGCGGCAGGCACCTGTGTGTCCTGGAATCCTTTCTTGTTATCCAACAAGCTGCTGTACCTCTTTGGTCTTTTAAAGCGCATTTGCTTACCTACATTTGAGATTACTGTGAATTAGGTTTATGTTGGTTCTGAAAACTGGGATTTCAGAGGAATTGTTTAGTGTGTTGGGAAGCAAGAGCCAAACTTCTGCCCTGTATTCAGTCTTTTGAGAAGCTTTCTTTCCTTCTGCCATGTCTCCCATGGAAGCACCACTTTTGTAGTGGTGCTTAGGACAGCTTTCCAAGTTGCCAAGTTTGCCCATGACCTAGAAAGGTCACCAACCACTGCACCACAAAATGTTTCCACATGGAAAGAGAGCCTTTCTGGCTAATGGGGTGGGATAGAAATCGGATAAATAAAGAAATGAAATGAAATGAAATGAAATGTTGGCCTGTATCAGTTCACACAGCGGCCAAAGAGCTGCTCACAGAATCCCACAAACAGGATATGAGCACTGCCTGCCCAGGAACCCCAGCAACTGGTATACACTGGCATATTGCCTCCTATACTGGAGAAAGCATATATCCATCAATAGCCTTCTCCATGAATTTGTTCTATTCCCTTTTAAAGCTATCCACATTCATGGTTATCACCTTGGAAGCCTTCCTTATAAGAGGAAGAAAGGCAGGATCTAAATGTAACATCATGATGTTGCCTAACTCGAGTTTGCATTTTTCAGTGCAGCCACACAGTGGGTTGACATTTTCATTGAGCTGTCCACCACAACCCAGTATGCATCATCATCATCATCATCATCACCACCACCATCACCCCCAGTATGCAACTCTTTACACTTTCCTACCTTTAACTCCATTTGACATTTTCTTAACTTTACCGCTGCTATCATTCTGACCACGGGCATGGAATGAGGGTCTAGAATCCAAATTTGAAATGTCATCCTTGTCATTGGGAAAAGCAAGATAGGGCGCATGCTACATTTTCACCACAGAAGTACCAAGACAAGTGCTATCTTAGGATTTCTGGGCTGGAAGTATGGAACTTCCCACAGTCTTTTCCACTTCTCCTTTTTGCAGGAGCTGTCAGCCAGGTTGGTGTGCATCCAGGCCCAGGAGGATCGCTTTCTGCTCTCCTTTAAGACTGTAGAAGAAATCTGGAAGTTTTCAACATACTTAGCACTTGGTAGATCCCATTGAACTTGTATAGGGGTGGCTGTTGTTCTATCAGGAGAGCCTGAGGGCTGGCAGGGAAGTCATAAAATAAGTTGTCCTGGGTGTTAAGGCAGGACTATGATACAGTAAAAGCAAATGCAACTTTTGCATCTATGCATCTTTTTCATATATTCCTTGTAAGGTATACTTTAGGGGTAAGGAACGTTTTTCAGCTGAAAAGCTGAATTCTGTTTTGGAAAAGACTTTGGGGTCAACATTCCAATGTGGAATGAGGCCAAAGACAAAAGGAATAAGGTCAAAATATCTCAAATACCAGCATTTTGTAGCTTAAAGCTCTTCCTGCCAGGAATTACACCCTAGGAGAGGCAGATTGGGCATTTCAAATGGGGAAAATGAATTACCAGCTGGGAAGCCATCAAATGAGATTGGCAGTTGGGAGGTGTGGGGAATCAAAGAGAGCTGGACTGAGCCCACAGGACAGAGGTTCTTCACCTCTGGTCTGCTGTAGCAAGTTGTGCTATTCCCAAAATCATCTGACAGTGAAGTGCACAGTGATGATGTCAATAGACCTAAGCTTGTGCATGTGTTAGAAGGCATAATCAAAAAAGGCTTGACATGAAAATGTAATTAATGTTTTGATTAATTCACTGCTTAATGAACTGCATATAGGCCTTAAGCATGTTTAATTGCTTTGAAATTTGTGATGTCGTTTTATTTCTGCTGATCTTGTTGAGCAATTCTAAGCGAGGTGGTCTGTAAATGTGCAAAGCAAACTGGATTCAGTTTAGGCCCATCGGTCAAAGGTTTATCTCTGACAGAAATGTCTCCTTTTGCTTTGCGAGTTATATTATATGTTTGCCTTTTTTCTTTGGTGCGATGGATTAGGCTATGTGGGTTGCTGTTTGGAGCACCTTCTCTTTACCCCAGAGTACTGGCTGAACTGTGCTCTGGTGGAGGACACAGAAATCAGAGTCACTATAGATGAAGATCTCATGGCCACCATGTACCTGGGTCTTCTGCTGCAGGAAGGTAAGAAACGTGAGCCCAACCTTCTAGTCCCTCTCCAGATATCTCTTTAGGGATACACTTTAGACCAGTTTGATTTGATTTGGCTCAAATACAAGTGGATCCCTACCTGGGAGGAGGAAGTTGTTACTTACCTTACTTTACCCTTCTCTAAATCAGAGAGAAACCAAACCCAGGATAGTTTGCAAACCTGTAAAACAAAACAAATTGCAGTGATACCCTAATGATCAAGAATAAGTATAAACTGTACCATTTAGAATGAGGTCTTAATTCTAAAAGTGGAAAGACTGCACCATATATTGAAAGAGAGACAGGACCAAATGAGCCTCCGACTGAGGGAATGCTGCATTTACTGCACCAGGACAGAAAAAGCCCGTGCCTCTTGTGCCTTCTAGCCCAGCCTGTTAAATAGGTGGTTTGTGGAGCAGAACTTCCCAAGAAGTACTAACAGTGCAAGGAGGTTTGCACGGGAGTAGACTAGCCTTCCCTAACCTGATGCCCTGCACGTGTTCTGGAGTGCAGTTCCTATCAGTCACAAGCAGCATGGCTAGTGGTCAGGGGTGACAAGAGTTATAGCCCCAAACACCTAGAAGGTCACCATGCAAAGGTAAGCATGGGCGCTCCTGTGCTGTTTGTACACCAAGAACCAGGGCACTCCTTTCTCTTCTTCTCTTTGTCTACCCACAGGAAACTTCTTTGCTAGGGCAGTGTTGAATGTGCTGGCAGAGGAAGAAGGGGAGGATTTGAAGCTCTATGAGAATGAGCTCGTTCATGTGAAAGACATCGGGCATGAAGCAAAATGGGAAGGGACATCTCTGTTGACTGATCAGAGGGGCCTGGTCCCTGTGACAACCATAGAACCATTGCCCCATCCCTTCTACCAGTAAGTACACTGGCTGCGGTAATCTAGGCATGGGACCCACATATTGAGCCATCATGTCCATCCACTGGGTTCAGTCCTACTCAGAGAATAAAAGCCTTTAAACAAGGTTTCATATCTCCGAGATTAAGATGGACTGCTGCTTAGTGTCCCTCCCAAACTACCTACACTGAGTGGAACTGTGAATGCTGTAACCAAACTGTAAACATGCCTAGAATCTTGTTTTCCTCCTCCACTGATAACAGTGACTTTGAGGACTTTGTGTACAAAGAGGTCTTTGTTCGCTTGGCAGGGAATTTCTGGCTCTTCACCTTGAATATGTAGGCACATTCTAGCTCTAAGTGCATCAGCTGCAGGTCCAGAATGAAAATCCCTGTCTCAATGCACCAAATGCATCAAAGCTGGAAGGCTGTTTGCAAGAGATCTTTGGTTCTGTATCTGTTGACAATATACTCTCCTTCGTCATGCATTGTCACTAAAATGTGTACAAAACCTTTTGCTGGGGTGGGCCAACATTCTTTGCACAGGAAGCTGCCCTATACCAAGTCAGCCAGTTTGTCTGTCTAGCTCAGGGTTGTCTGCACAGCCTCTCTCTGGCAGAGGTATTTACCACTGTCTGCTACCTGATCCTTCTTTCTAAGTGGAGAGGCTAAGGACTGAGTCTGGGACCTTCTGCATGCAAAGCAGGTGCTTTACCATGGGGCTGTAGTCCAAGTACAGCTCTCTCCAGTAGCAGCAAGCCTGCAGTGCATGGAAAGCTTTTAAAATGGACATGATGATGTTATCCAACCCTTGGGTTTATCCCCACTCTCTGAATTTGTATAATCCTCTAAAAAGATGCATGCCCATTATCCCACCTTTTGGCCATACATTCCATGACAAATCACCAAAGCTACAGCATGCGAGGAAGCAGATTTGGCAGCAACACACCTAGCATCTGATTCTCTTCTACCAAGCAAACCATTTTCTGAAAGAGGCAGGTTGTTCACAGCTCTTCTCATTCTCAGGTGGTTTTTGAAGAACTATCCAATGAGCTGTGGCATCTCCAAACAAATCAGTGGAGCTGACTCTTTGCAGACCGGTAAGTGCAATCTCATTTGGGTAAGCTGCTTAAGACAAAGCTACATAACTTGCTTAAGACAACTCTACATTGCTCTTTCCTCTTTATTTCACTCCTGGACAGTCTACAGGCCACGTGTGACCATCACAAGCCTTCTATGCCGCCTGCTCCAGTTGCCCCTGCCAAAATGGCCATTGCACTGATGGTGAGGAAGGTGTGCGGACAGTCGCTCTGCATGCCTCCCTCCTCGTGCCCTTCCAACCCCACCGAGTCAGCTGTTTGCTCTTCTCCATCCCAACAGGAAAACCTTTGAAATCCAAGATGTGCTGGATGCTATCAACCAATACTCACTTTCAGAGAGATCTCTGCATACCAAAAGGGGAGATTTAAACCTCCCCATCCCCACATGCTGAGATGGGGTGGGGGATGAGGGTGTGTGTGTGGAAAGTGTGTGCAGCTGTGTAGGTGCCAGCACAATCCCTGACCTGTTGCCCATTGTTCCCTGTGGCGGCAAAATGGCTGCCCATTCCAGCTTCATTTGTTATTGAAAAAAGAAGCATTTTAAACTCCAAATGGAATGCTCAGAAAGCAAAACATTTCCCTTCCTAATTACTCTAAGAAAATTGGGGCTTGTTTAAATTATTCAAAAAGTACCGAGAAAAGTCTTCCCTAAATGCCTTCTCAAGTCTTTGTTCTTAAGAGAAGGCATTCCTTATCTTAGAAAGAATGACACATTTGTCTCTCTTAATGTTGGGCAGAAAAAGAAAAAAAGGACAGGAAGGGGAATTTTTGTAAAGACTAGATTAGCATAACAAGGTGCTCCCCCCTTTCAGTGATTTTTCAGGACTCACCACACAAGTGTTGAGTGTTCATCTCTTCAGGAAGCACCGCTGTGCAGTCATTTGTCCCCTAGCTCCTGTTTAGCCGTGGTCCAGGTAACCTTGCTCAAAAAATAGCCTTGTTTACTCTTAGCAACATACAGGCATCATAGTGTCATGACATCACTTTTACATGATACCTAATTAATTAGGACTGCTCTCTGAAGAGAAATGGTACCAAGGAACCGTGGTAGCCGACTGGCATGGGCATGTGTAAATCTTTTCAGCGTTTGGGATTTTTTTTGAAGAGGAACTCACTCTCTCCACACTCATGCAACTTTCACCCTGAAAGTGGAAGCAGGTGGGCAATCCACCCACCCAGCTGTTTGGCATTAAGAAGAACTGACTGTGGTTTCAGGTGAAGCTTAAGCTACAGAAGAAAATAAAAAATGTTATTGGATACAAAGAGACCTTGTTTTCATAAGTATGCCCTTCTCTGCCACTTTGCCAAGAGAGAATGGTTCAATTGTTCAGTATGCTGAAACGAGGGTGCTTTCATTTTTTGTTCTTCAGGCCAAGGCAAATACACAGTCACAGAGGATCACAGAGGGAACGGCTGGGATGAGCTGAGCTTCTGCAAAGGAGACATCCTAGAGGTCATTGGCTTTCTCATTCCAGGCCTTCCATGGTTTATAGGGAAATCCACCACCAGCGGGTCAATAGGCTTTGTCCAAACCAAATATGTGCATCCTGAGACTTATGAACCAACGTAAGTGTGCTGAACCCCTTCACATGTGAGGGGCTGGGGAGCCCTTGTAGGCACAGAGCGTGGCAGAATCGGTATTATTAGCTGCATTAGAAATTCATTATCTTTTGGGTAGTGGGAGAGGTGAAGGGAATGTGAGTAGGAGGGTTGAAAAATGTTGCTGCTTATGGTTGATTTTCTTTGTGATTTAAGAAGGTAGCTCAGGGCAGGCCATATGCCTGCCCGCCCCCTGAGATCAGCGGGAGAGGCCCTTCTCCGGGAACCCTCCGTGAAGGAAATTAGGAGGGTAAGTACTCGGAGGAGGGCTTTCTCTGCGGTGGCGCCCAATCTATGGAATGCGCTCCCCAGAGAGGTCCGCCTGGCGCCGTCGTTATTTGTTTTTCAGCGCCAGGCGAAGACCTTTTTATTCAAACGTCATTTTAATTGTTAATGGTATTTATTTATTTTATTCGTTGGCCAGGGCGACTTATTTTATACTGTTAACTTGTTTTATATTGTTAATTTATAGTATTTTAATTGATTTATTTGTAAGCCGCCCCGAGGCTTTGGCGAATGGGGCGGCATAGAAATTTTCCAAATAAAATAAATAAAATAAATAAATAATAACAACTGAAACCATAAGTTTGCTGACCGTGAGTCTGCTAAACAGAGACTCTTCGGGATCCCACCTCCCACCATAGGTGCAAAGTGACTTGTAATATATTCTCAGTGGACTGTAATCCATGGGACAGTATTGTGTGAACAAGCAGAGGGTCCTAGTCCAGGCACAGAGCAAGGAGAAGCTCTTTATTTTGCAATTCACAGCTTCTAATTTTCCTTGGAGCTTTTGCATCCCTCCCTTCCACAAAATGACTTAGCTGACTGTTAAAGACCTGGGCTGAGGGCCAGTTTAATTTCTTTTGCATTTCATTTTAAGTTCTTCTTTGTGCTCTTTACCTGCCCAGAGTTTCATTTGGAATGTTCTATAGGAAGGCGGAGCTTTTTGTTGGGAAGCTGACCCCTCCCCTTCAGTGCCATGTACCAAAGTTGTTGGAGCAGAGGGCTTCTCCTTTCCCATTTTCTCTGACATCATTGAGTTAGAAAAAGTTCAGAGAAAGGCAATTAAAATGATGAAGAGGCTGGAGCAGCTCTCCTCTGAGGATCGGTTGCAACAACTGGAATTGTTTAGTATAGAAAAAAGGCGAGTAGAAAGAGACATGATAGAAGTGTTCAAAATTACGCATGATGTAGAAAGTAGAGAGGGAGATATTTTTCTTCCTTCCATAAACCTAGAACATGGGGTCATCCTATGAAGCTGATAAGTGGGAAGTTCAGGACACATAGAAGGAAATATTTATTTACACAGCACACAGTTAAACTATAGAATTCACTGCCATAGGTTGTAGTGATGGCCACCAATTTGGATGGCTTTAAAAGGGATTTGTCAAATTCAGGAAGGAGAATGCTGTGAGTAGCTACTGATCTTGTTGGCTATGTGCTATCAGAGGTGGTATGTCAGCATATACTAGAATCTTTAAAATAAAGGTGGAGATTATCATCTCACAAAATCTCGAATTGTTGAGCTGACAAGGAAATTCATTTTAAGATAAAATTTCCATAGCTAGCATCTGTCTTATTTTATTTTGGGGGTGGAATGGGGGACACTGTATCATTAAGAAATATTGGTATAGCTAGCATCTCCTCCTCTGATTTTTGGTTAACAGATAGCATTTTATAACATTAAAAATTGGCTTGATGTTGCCACATTGAGTGGAGAGCAAGGAAGAATAGCAGCAGTTCAGTAGTTCTGGTATTTCCATCGCAGTTCTGAAGCATATGCACCGTGATGTATTTGTCAGTTAAGACTCTTTCCCTTCAGTATTGGGGAAAGCTCCCTGTGTGTATTTCCATAACATCCACAATGATATTGAAAACAATGGGAGTGTCCGTGCTCATAGGGAGGTGATGGAGTTTTGGCTCATAGCAAACTTGCAACAGTTTTGTTTTATAACAAATAGGTAGAGTAGGCAGAGTATTAGGAAGCTGAGAAATGAAGACTAGGGAAGTTTGGACATTTAGAAGGAGCTTGAGAAAGCTGCCAGAAATGCCTTATGGCATGGCAAATGGTACGTCATTTGCTGCAGGGTGCCAATTAAGTAATAGAAGAGAAACACAAAAATGGCGTCACTCAATTGCAGCAAGCTTTGTGTGTGAGTCTGGAGAGTTACCATGAATACAAGGAGAGAGTAAATGTGTTTATGCATCAGGGAGAATTGCCGGTTTACGAGGGAGAAATCAAGCTTAGCTGGTCATTAGTGCTTTCTCTTGTAAAGTCAATTCAATCAATTTCAGGTAGTTTATATTCTGGCCAGAGGTCTATAAAAGTGGTAATAGGTCTGGGATATCTTTTTTTCAGGGCAGATTTAATTAGCAAACATGTCACCTAGGAGTTCTATTGGCAGGGTTTGCCAGAAGATGCTCTGGGCACCTACTGGCCCTCCCGGTGTTTTGGCCTGTAGCTCCTGAAGAAAGGGCTGTAGTTCTGTTGGCAGAGCACATGCTCTGCATGCAGAAGGCCCTCTGCCCTCTGTTCAGGTCCTGGTGTCTCGAGAAAAGGACCTTCCCAAAAACCTTGGAAAACCACTAAGAGGCAGTATCAACAATGCCAGACCAGAGGGATCTCTTCTCTTGCTCTTACGGCTATGCTTTCTAGGGCTGATGCAAACCTGTAGGATCTAGAGAGCCACACGTTTCCTACCTGTACTCTCCATGCAGGATCAAGGAAGGCTGAATAATAGATTTAGTGCAGGGACAACAGTAGTTTTAAAGAATTGCACACAAAGCAATTGGGTTTTTTCCCATCTTTTGTAGTTTCTCTTTATTCCTGACAGGCGTCCAAAAATGTTGAGAGAAGCTGGAAACTTTATCTTAGGAAGTATTGTGTGAGGCTCTTGCAGTGTGAGCCTATGTATGTTTACTCAGAAGTAAGTACCATTGTATTCAGTGATGCTCACTCCCAGATGGGAATGCAACCTAAGAAACACAGCTGAGTCTTAGGCCTTTTTATAGCTGTTGTATAAAATGTTAAGCAAAGTTGACCAGCCATTGATAATTGTAATTACAGTATACATACAGTGAGCAAACAATGAAAAAAGAAGAGAGCAAGCAATCTGCTATAATCAACTCCCTTTATGAAATCAACCATACCTAGGCCCCTGTCAAGCCAATGGAAAACAAGTGGGAAAAATATAACATAGTCTGATATAAAAGAAGACAAACACTACAAAATACAAAAAATAAGCCTGTTAAGCTAAAAGGAAGCAACAGGAAGAAGAAAGGGGCATGTTGTGGAAGGCCCTGATCTACTGGATTCAAAAACCCTGCATTCTCTCAGTATTTCCCCTCCAAAGGAAAAGATGATTCACCAGACTTGGAGCTGCCTTTGTCTATTTCCCTCCTATTAAAGGCAATGGACAATATCCAGTCAGACACTAGTGCTAATGTGAATAACATTGCACTAGCATAAAGGACTTCTAGTGGAATACCAGTAGCATTAGCTGGTATGACACTATTCCCTGGGGAACCCGCCATGTCATTTAGCACCATTGGAGTTGTCTACGAGTAGATGTCCCTTATGCTTAATGTAAAGAAGGTTAAATTAGTGCAAGTGTCCAAGTGGATACTGCCCATTGGGAGGGAAATATTAGAAAACACACATGCAAAAAAAGAAAAGTGGTAAGGAAAATCTACTCACCCTGCTGCAAGGCATAGGAAATGGAACTTCATCCACTGTGGATTCTTCCTGTCAGCATCTTAGGACTGCTCTGTAAAGGAGACCAAATCCAAAGAAATGTAGACTTCCTCATCAACTACCTTGCTGGCCATATTCACCATATCTGGATTCAGACAGCACAATAACCCCCTTCATGGTTGATTGTGGGTTGTTCTTTGACTAATTTGTTGAAAAGTGGGTTATCATGATGCCTGGACCCAGCTGCACTAACAAATGATGCTTTGTTATCTATGAAAAGCACACAGTACAAAACCTAACAACAAACCATGGTTCCTCTTTGTGTATGATTGACAAATCATGGTTTGTTAGCATGTCAGACATCATAATAACCTTTGCTTCAGGCATGTTATGATCTTCCTGAAGTAGCCCACTCAGCCACACCATGCTGACTCTGTCTTACCTGAGTCCAAGAGACAGAAACCTTCTCCATGCAAACAAGACTCAGCTGAAGGTCTTAAAAGGTAAAGGTAAAGGTTTACCCTTGACATTAAGTCCACTCATGCCTGACTCTAGGTGGCAGTGCTCATCTCCATTTCCTAGCTGAGGGAGCCAGCGTTTGTCCACAGTCTCCATGGTCATGTGGCCAGCATGACTAAACACCGAAGTGCACGGAATGCTGTTACCTGCCCACCAAAGTGGTACCTTTTTATCTACCTGTATTTGCATGCTTTCAAACTGCAAGGTTGGCAGGAGCTGGGACGGAGCAACGGGAACTCACCCTGTTGTGCAGATTTGAACCGGTGACCTTTCGATCTACCAGCCTAACAGCACAGCGGTTTAAACCGCTGTGCCACCTGCAGTCCCTTAAGTCTTAGGTTAAGCTAAAGGCCAGGTCACTGGACCCTGGCCTTGCAGTGCTGATGACTGAGGCCAAAGTCATCTGTAGGCCAAGCACTGCCACTTAGACAATCTATTAAACAGTAAACTGCTTTGATGCCTGAACAAAAGGAATCTCCTAGAATCCATTATGAAGCTGAGGATGAGCTATTGCTGGGCAGTCAGCAGACACAAGACAAGAGATGCCTCTGTAATCTCCACCAAGCTGGGGAGGGAGCAGAGGAGATATAATTGACAGAGACAGGAAGTGAGGTGGGGAGGAGGCTTTCTCTTACAGCAAGAATGCCAGGGGCAAGTCTCCTTGGGTGTAAGGGAGCTTGAGGCAGCCACAGGATAAATTACCTATTTATTTCCTGGTATAAGTGTCCCAGTGTGGTTTTTCCACAATCAAAGAGGGGAAGATGTAATACAGACACAAGGAGAACTTTGCCATGAACATAGTGGGTCTTCAAGTAACCAGGTGGGCAGCTTAGAGGAGGGCTGTGCCAGCCAGACTGTATTTTATTCTTCGTTTGTTCTTTGTCACCAGTTTGCTGCTTTGAACTGCCTACTGCTTCTGCATTGAAACTGATTTGCCACTTTTGGTGCATGCTCAGAATCTGAGCATCCTTGTTCCCATTCTGTTCTTTTCCTGAATGCTTAATAAATCTTTTATCTTGCTTTCACCAAAACCCATATTGCATGCCATGGGGCTGAAAGGCAGGGGAGACCCACAACAGGCATGCCCGGTTGGGGGTCACTCCGTGCTGAGTGTAACCTGCAAGCTAGCTGTGGACACAGGGTGAGCTGCAGAGAAGCCCAGTTCAAAGGACCTTAGTGGGGAACGTTTTCAGTCATCCCCAAAGGACAGAGAGCACTTGGGACTGGGGAGACTGGGTTCATCTTGCTCTCGAAGGTAGCAGCTGGAACCCATGTGCTGTGCTGCACCAGACTGGGTGTCCTCAAACAGTGCTGCCTGCAGGTGACCACACAGTGGTTGATCATAGCCCACACTCAGTCCATACTCAATACTGGAGTGTGGGTCATTGTGTTGTCTGAACCCAGCCAATGTGTGAATGAAGATATTCTTCCCCAAGGATGATTAAGGTATCTCTTGCTCCTTGTAATTATTGTTTCCCTGTGGGCTGCCTAGGATCCTTCTACAATATTCCAACTGTGATTGTCTTTCATATCACGTATGGATGTTGTCCGTACAGGAGATTGCTAGGCAGAGGAGTTAAGTATATATCCCAGGCAATACAAGTTTCCATTTGTACTAGGGACTAGGATAATCCTGCCTCCTGTGGATGTACACACACCACTTTGGATGTGTGAAATTGTCGCCACATGGTGTCACTGTTGTCCCCCTCAAAACTGTAATGTTGCTTATACTGTGGGAAGATTTTCCTTGGAATTGTAGTTTCCTTCCAGTCTAAGTGGCTAATGCACGTCATGGGCATTAATCATGCTTCTTCAAAACACAATTCTATACATGTTTCCTTTGGAATAATTCCCATTGAATTCAGTGGGATGTACTACGGGAGAAGTAGTGGGTATAGGATGACAGTCTAAATGGGTACAAGTGGGAGTTTAGGACTGTAATCCTGAATCCACTTACTTGGTAGAGAGCACCATTGAATTCAGTGGGACATTCATAGAGTTGTCTTGTAAGACTGGGATCCTAAACATACTTCCTAGGGAGTAAGAACCGACGGGTACATTTGGATTTACTTACAAGTAAACATGGATAGGATTGCACTGTAAATGAATTTTCTATTCAAAAGAAAACCTGCTAATGCTTTTGTTATCTTCCTAATTAACCCATCAAATAAATTATTATACAATAAACAATAAAAACAGTATAGTATAATTACTGAAGATGTTTGCTGGTGCTAATAGGCTCTCTTGAAAACTCTAGCAGTTTTGTTTTGGAAAACTATCCTAAACATGCTACCATGAACTAGGTTGTAGAAATCCTTCAACGATTTAAATAACTGTTGGTGGATGGCTCTGCTTAGGTACAATGGTGTTGCATAATTAAGATTTTTGACCATCATCACTACCACAGAGGAGGCTCATAAATGGACCCTGGCATGTATTTGAATGAGCCTCATACTTTCTACTTTTGATACCCCAGCCATTGCCCTGCAATATCTGGGGAAGGAAAGGGTTAACCTGCCAAGGGCCCAGGATGCTTTCATGAGCCTATTTCCATTTTTTTCCTGTTTTTTACATCAAGCAGGATGCTAATATCCCACCCTTCCTCCAAGGAGCTGAGTTTATTGTACAGGCTACTGCTTCCTTATTTATCCTTAGCCCTAGTGAAGTTCATTAGACCCAGAGATACTGTCTGGCCCAAGGTGAACCACTGATGTGGGGTGGTCCACTCCAGTTTCTCCAGTCCTAGTCCTCTGCTCTAGCTACATGATGTGGAACTTTTGCATTTGCTGCTTTTCCAAATGCAGGAGCACAGTCCCACCCCTTACCTTGTCCACAGTCAAGAAAAGAGACCCAGGTGCCTTGCTGGTTTTCTGAGTGTAGTTTGCTGTTTGCCACAGGGCAACATGGATTTGCTTCAGAATGCCGGGTATTTGCTGCATGTAAAAGTCTGCTGAAAGAGTGCAATGGTGTTCTTCTTCCACTTTATAGCAAGAAATGTCTATAGAGGGTATGGAAGTATTGCAGGTCGGCAGCACTGTATGTCTCTTCTCCATGTTACATCCCCATCACAGGAGAAAGAGCCCAATATTTTTCAGTGAAGAGGAAGTTGTCTCTGTTCTCCAGGTGCCATGCAATGGCAGTGAGGAGCATTACAGCAAACTTCTCAGTGAATGGGCACAGACAGACATCACCTCCGTGTACAGGCTGGGTGAGAACCCCTCTCTCTCCCCTTCTGCTGGATATACGTTTTCTCTGTACAGCGCTGTCATTCCTGAGCTTGCATTCCTCTCTCTCTCTGTTCACGCCATTCATGTTTAGAATCAGTATTGCCTGCCACTGCTGAATGATATTAAGGAGGTCAGTTCCTCAGTTGTGATGATGTCCTGCACAAACCTTTGCTCCTTTAACAGAATAGGCTAGCAATGCGGGGAGATCCAGTAAGACACATGTCACCTACCCACCAGCTACACTTCGTGGGAAGCCCCTGAATGCGTGAGCCATTGTACTGCATCCCTCGTAGTCTCTGTGTTTTCACACAACTCACATGGGCTCTGCACCTGTATGGAGCTTTCTGTTGGGAACACGCTCCATACAGCATTTCTCAGCTGAGAGTGTTTTGGTGGGAACCCCTGCCTCCCTCCCTGGGGATCAGTATATATGGAAGGAGTTTCTGCCCATTTCCTCAGTTCTTTGAACACCTTCTCTGGTGCCTTGGGAAGTTCTTCCTCTCCCTTTGCAATGGAGCATTTTTTCTCTCCATATTTTTCTTCTCCTTTCCAAGGCTTCATTTACATCGCAGGAGGCAGCCAGCACAGCCCTTTTCTTGGCAGCTGTGATGGGGCAAAGGGCTGGAACCCTCAAGTCCCTCTGCCAAGGGAGTGGCAGTATCCATGCCCTTGCGAGGGGGACTGCAAGCAATCTGGTAGTCCCTCAGATGCTCTTTTGGAGGCCATACAGTTGCTCTCTTCATTAATGTTCCTTGCTGTCGTTATTATTGTACTGCATTGAACCAGATGTTAGGGATAGGTGAATGAGCAATGTGGTCAAGATTGCCAGGATTTGCCCAATGTTGCCTTGCTGCTCATCTCATTCCTGATATCTATTCACATTTGTATTGCTGTTTGCACTGTATGAATGGAAACTTGTACAAATCAAGCCATTACTGAAGGGAAGATTTGTGTAGGTTCCCTAAAGATTTGCACAAATTTCCTAATTTGCTCAGCTTTCCTCCACAGACTAAAGTGGAGCTGGTTCAGTCTACTGAGGAAATCTGTTCAAATTAGGAAATCTGTGATCAAACTGGCATGCAGGAACGAGCCAATCTCAAGCACATCTTTGAAGTTACAGACATTTCTGTGGACAGGTGCTTGTATTCAAGTATGGAACTTTGAATGGAGCATGTGCACTTGTTTTTTCCAGCAAAAACAACATTCTTCTATAGACCTACCAGATCTTGGTGGCATTTTGCTTTTGAGAAATGTACAACTGCCTGCACATTCTTCCCTTATCAAATGCTTCTTTGTGTTCTGAGTTGTCTCTCTTGGTCTCTCTTCCCTCCTTGGAGCACATCTCCCAAATTTAAAAACACCTTATCCTGTTTTGTGCCTTGTGACTGATCCACCAGAAGTCTTTGTTTTAGTGCAGGATTTAAGGTATGGTCTCCTAGTTTCTCATGGGCTTGTTTTGTGCATTTCTTTTGGCCCTACAGATGGCTTTGAACCTGTGGCAATGTATCCACGAATGCCATCAGGTGAGTATGGATGGAGGGGAAGATGGAATGCAGTTTTTCCTGAAATGTATCACTTTGCAGGGAAGTATCTCCTTGTGGCTAATCTGTCTCTTTCAGATGCAGTTGTACAGGGACTTAAGGATGGCTGGATGTTTGAGAATTGGGGGAAGCAGTCTAGTAGTAGTTTGCTCACTCCCAGTGATTCTGAACAGTCTAGTCCAGTGGGTGAATCTTCACCTTCTACCCTGGAGCAATTACTTCTGCCAGAACCAGATGACCTTGATGACCCCAAGTTCTTCGTGGACCTGAATGCTCAGGACATGGAAGATGCTGATGTGTTTGATCCTATATTGACTTTCCTCAATCAAGATGGCTATGTGGCCCATTTCCAGAGTCTCTATGACCTCTCTTTTTCCTTCCTCAGTTCCACCTTCTATGGTTTCTCCAGTGAGGAAGATCTAGTCCTATACCTGGAAACATCCAGGAACTGGGCCAAGAGAGGTCATCTTGCTTGGGCTCACATCCGGATATGCTTTCTTTTGGGACGTCTCTGCGTCAAGAAGGCCAAGTTCTCCCAAGCTCGGGTCTATTTTGAGGAAGCCATGAGCACGATGGACAGGGGATTTGAGGACATGCCTCTCCTCATCTCACTGCACACAAACCTTGCTGCCATATACTTGAAGCAGAAAATGAAGCAGAAGTTCTTATTGGTGATTGGGAAAGTCACAGCGCTTCTGGCCTGCCTGCCAGGGCACTGCTTCAGTTCTGAGAATGAGCTGGAGGTCATGATGTACATCCTGAGAGAAGCCATCGCTGTTGGCAACACTGCCTTAGAAGCTCGGGCCTGCTTCCTCGTTGTCAGGCTCTTCTTGCAGCTGGGCCAGTATGAAGAGGTCCTGCCTTTCGCAGAGCACTTGCAGTTCCTGTGCATCTGTTTATCCAGCCAGAACTCTGGTCCACCTGCCTTTGATACAATGCCAATCCTCACCTACCTGTATGACAAGAAGTACTTGCCACACATTGCGCTGGCATCTGCCAGGCTGTTCTCCCCCAGCAGTGGAAAGGGAGGGCTGACTCCCATCTGGAGGGCAGGATTCATTCTTGCAAATGCCTCTAAGCTCCTGAACATCCAAGAAAGCAGCAGCAGCAGCGTCCCTGCTGTGTCGTGCCTTTATCTGAACTGTGCCTTGGCCTTCTCCTGTGAAAGTGGAGCTGTGTCCACTGAACGAGCCCTGTGTGCAGTTTTATCCAAAATGTACCTCCAGCATGGCATGTTGCAGGGAGCTGTGCATTATACCAACAGGGCTATTGCCCTTGGGAGAGTCATGGGGGAGGAGGAAGCTTTTGAATCCTCCCTTTCCTTGGGCTGGATATATGCTCTGAACTGTCAACCAGATAAAGCTTCAGAGATCATGCTGTGCCTCTTGCATTCTCTGCGGCAGACGGACAGTGTTACGCAGGACGGAGTTGTTCACAACCTTTTGGCCATAGCCCTTAAAGGAGAAGGGCAGGTGCTAAAGGCAGCAGAGAACTACTTGTGGGCCTTGAATAAAGCCCGTGAGACAGGCAACAGGCGGAACCAAGCCATTGCCTTATCCAACTTTGGATGCCTGGCTGTCTCTTGTGGGGCAAACCTCCTAGCAGAGCACTACTTTCTCCAGGCCGTTAGGTTGTATTTTGAGCTCCAGGGCAGTGATGACACCCAAATGGAGCTGGTGCAGATTCTGCTGTGGCTGGCCCAATCTCAGGTGGAGAGGCACAAGACGGAAGAGAGCAAGGTGTTTTATGAGCTGGCCTTGGCAGTTGCCCTGAAGACACACAGTGTCCTGGGTAAGTAGTTGGCTTTCAGGGGTGGGGGTAGAGGAAATGAAGGGGGGAGTTGCTGTTTGCATGGCCCTGAAACGAATAAGCATGTGCCATATCTCATATGTACAGGTCAGCTCCATGTCACTGAGTCCCTCTGCCATTTCCATAGCAAAGTGTGTCCGAATACTGGAGCCTGCATTATCTACCATGAGCACCAGGTTCGCTTAGTTCAGCAGCTCCAGGACCGAGCAATGGAAGGACAAGTTCTGCAGGTCCTCAGCCAGCTCTACCAGAGTTTACACACAGCCAGGTGAGTCAGCGTCATGCTGAACATTCAACTGTGGAAAGATAATCAGCCATAGAGCTGAATGAGTCGTTTCTAACATTTTTTTAAATTAATTGAATTTTGTGTTTGTCAGACATTTTCAATTCTTTTCACTTCTGTCATATGTTTTCATTAAAAAATAATGGCATACGAAATCCTGAAAAGTTCTTGTTAGGTCCAGAACCGCATAACATGTGATACTGCCCACAATCCACTGTGTAGTGAGTCCTAAAGCAAACTCTGCTTGCTTCAACAAGTATCGACATACCTTTAATGACTACGGTGTATGTATTTTAATTGCCTTTTTATGCAAACTGTTTTGAATGTTTGGAAAAACACTATGAAAGACTTCAATAAAATCAGTAATAATAGGCTTTGAAAACTTTATTGATGTGTGTCATCGAAAAAAAGGCATGACAAATTCTAGCAAGGTAGACACATAAGGATTTGAAAAAACAACAAAGGTTAACAGCTGTAATATCTTAAAGATTAACATTAGTCTTTGTGGTATAAACATTTGTTGGACAGAGCTCACTTCTGCAAATTCATGAAGTGATCCCTGGCTGGATAGTTATATCGCAAATATAGAAAAAAATAGAAAATATGTATGCTGAACCCTTTCGCTTTGAGATACGTGGTATCATTTTGTCCTTTTGCTTTATATTTTTGTAAGCCGCCCCGAGGCTTCGGCGAATGGGGCGGCATAAAAATGTTTTAATAAATAAATAAATAAATAAATATATCCAAAATGTCTAATGTGCGAGTCCACTGTCTGTTCACGCAAACTCTAACACAGAATGGCCTCATTTGTTAAGTTGTTTATCTGTTTGTTTTTACCAGCTGTATCCAGCCAGTGGCTCAAAGCATTCAACATTATCTACAAAGAATAACCAGAGTCCAAAGTAGCAACATGCATGCACAAAGCTGAACATAGCCTTGGAGATTTCATGTTTGTTTTGCCTAAATGGTTCCTACCCCTGAGAAGTCAAACTATTCCTTGATTTCAAAAATGTCTTGTCTCTTCAGGAAAAGGAACTGCTGCAGTGACAGCCCGGTTAGGAAATGCTAGCAGTCTCCACTTTCTGTGGGGCCAGCTGTTGGTAACATTTGAAGATGCAGATGGATGCTCTGAGCTTTTTGTAGGTAGTATGGGAGATAAGTATTCTCACAAGAAGAAAGGATCATGTGGCACATATGGGGTGCTTCAGTATATTTGGGGTTTTGATGGAAGTGGCAAATTAGATTCAGAGATGCCCTGGAATGTATTACTGTGTTATTTATTTTGCATTTCTGTATTGCTCAATAGCCCAAACTCTCTGGGGGCTTCCAGAAGATTCAAACCTTAAAAATACAGCTAAAACATAATGTAAAAACAGTCTACAAAACAGTTTAAGACTCTCAGCAGTAGCAATCCCAGTCTAAAAAGTCCTACAATGTGCTGTGGAATGCCTGGGTGTAGAGAAGAGTCTTAACCTGGCACTGAGAGGATGACAGTGTTGACTCTGGGTGGACCACACTGGGGAGTGCGTTCCACAGCCAGGGGGCCATTGCTGAGAAGGCCTTCTCCCTTGTTGCCACCCTCTGAATCTTTCTTGGAGGAAGGTCTCAGATGCCAATCGTAATGTATGGATAGGCTCAGAGGAAGAGGCACCCTGTTAGGGGTTTGGTTCATGTAAAAAGTGTGCTCATCCACTTGGTCCTTCCAAGTTGCCAGTCTCTGCCTGCAGCACTGGTTGTAGTTGCAGTGACCTGGATGGCAGTCTTCCTATGTGAGCTTAGAGGGAAGGAATGTAAGAAGCAGCACCTGTCACGTGAGCCCTGTTGTTCATGATTAACAGTAGTGCTTTCATCCCTGACTGAAAACAGCAGCGGGAATTAATTCATTTCCAACGTGGATCAGCCAGACAAACATATCACAGCAGGGTATTTCCTCTCTCTGAGTGAATGTGGCTATCCTTGCTGAACTCTTGTTCTAATGGGAGACTTTTGTCTTCATGAAAAATGAATTAAACGTGATGTGCCTGGAGCCTCTTAAAGGAAAGAGGAGAGTGATGGATGTATGAAATAAACAGATAAACACAGAATGGCTTCTGGTCAGTTTCTGAGTTCAGTTCAGAGTGTTGGTATTTACCTGTTTCTACATGGCTTAGTCTCCAAGAATGCCAGCTCCCCTTGCAATGTGCCTGTATGCCAATGCCATCTCCAAGACCTCTCCCCTGGGTGCCCCAGCACCTTTGACAGGGAGTGAATAGGGAGGGGCAATTTCACTTTGGCAGCCCTATCTGGGTACTGTCTCCCCAGGAAGGTTTAGAAACAGAGAAACAGAGTGGGTCAGAAGGGGCTTCCTGGGCCATCTAGTCTGACCCCCAGCTCCAGCCAGCTCCTCATGACATGTCTATCCTTATATGGTGCTTGGGTCATTATCTTTTTGCACAGACTTTTAAAATGGTTTCCTCTGGTGTTTGTGCTGTTTTTAGTTGATGTGTTTATTGTTTTCTGCTGAGGTTTCTCTTTCTTTTATTTGTTGTTTATTAGTGGTTGTGTATATGCCCTGGAAAGCGATGTTGAAATGCAATATAGAAATGTTGTGAATAAATACATACAAGGAAGCGAACCCATTGATATTTGGTGCAAGCAGCGAATTAGGCTCAGTGGTGCTCTGGTGTCTACCATTTATGCGATTCGGTTTTTTAACTAGGGCTAGCCCTTTAGCAAACTATTACTGCTCTGCCTTCAGCACAAGTTATGGTTGCGCAGGAATCTGGATGCTAACCTTACTGTGCAAAATCCATGTGAGCGCAGGTGGAGGAAAGAAGGAGCCCCTCCCCAGGGTGCAGTATTGCAGGTTGAATTGCATTTGGACTGAAGAAATTGGAGGGTGAATGGAAGGGACTGTGCTTATAAAATCACATTGTAACTTCTGGGTTTTCACCTGCCAGTTAATCCTCTCCTTCCCACTACTTTCCTGCACTTCTGTCTGTTTTATATAGAATTTATGTCCCCTGTGAAGGATCTGTGTCTCTTCTGTGTAGTGTCCATCACTTAGCACTAAATCAGGGTTTAATAGTAGCAGCAATAAAAACCAACACAGAAACAGTGTGCATCATGCCTCCTTGGGTCACGAGGTAAAACACACACAGTTAGGCAAAAACACTCAGTACGAGGCTTTCCCTGCATCTTAAGACTAACACAATGTGGTGTAGTGGTTAAGAGCATGGGACTGGGACTCAGACGATCTGGGTTCTAGTCCCCGCTCAGCCATGGAGCCAACTGGGTGGCTTTGGGCCAGTCACAGACTCTCAGCCCAGCCTACCTCACAGGGTTGTTGTTGTGGGGATAAGATGGAGGAGGAGATGTAAGCTGCCTTGAGCCCTTCGTAGGAAAAAGGCAGGATATCAATCAATCAATCAATCAATCAATCAAATAACTAACTAACTAACTAACTAACTAACTTGGCTCTTCTTTTTACCATGCTGGGAAAACAGTTAGTGGTGTAGATTTCCTTCCTCTTAGGACATGGTCACTCCTCCTTTCTCATGAGGTAAAAGAGTGCTGGCCACGTTTTTGGAAGCACTGAATTTTAAAGACGCCAGAGTTGGCTAATCCTGTGTCCTGGCAGATAGACGGTGAGATGCCGACGTAGCCTGGTAGCCTTCTGCAAATTGCGGGTGTCCTTTGGGTGTCATGCCATGGCTGCTAATCTCCCACTCGCCTGTAGCCTACCAGTTGGTCTCTTACCCTTTGCTCAGCTCTGGCAGGCTCCTCCTCTTACATCCAGTTATATCTTGAGTCCTGCTGCTGCTCGTGCCCCACTCGCTTGTCTCTTCTTTCAGCGAAAGCACTCATAAGTAGGAGCCCTGTAAGAAATGGAGTACCTGGCTGCTAGCACTTCTCCTTTATTGGCCTGCAGCTTCTCTTTGCTGCTACCCATTTAAAGGAAAGAGAAAGGGATGGACAGACTGGCAAGCACTGCGGCCCACGTATTACTGCCCTCCCCAATAGAGAGAGAGGAAGAGACAGTATGCTCACATGCTGTTGTATAGTCCCTTTGCAAAGAAACAGGTGTATGTACATGCTCCTGATTCTGGTTTCCCTGGGGAAAGAGAGATTTCTGGGTCTCCATAAAACATACTGTGTTTGTTTCAGGGAAAGAGGGATAGAGGGAAAGGTGACCCCATGGCAGTACTGCCTGCCTGAAGGATTAAGACTGGCTGTTGTGACCTCATACTTCCTGTTTAAAGGAGGGGCTGGCCGTTACGACCTCATACTGATGCTGACTTCTTGCAAAAGAGGCTGGCTATGGTGCCTTCAGTTGATGCAGGTGGCACAATGGTTTAAACTGCTGGGCTGGTTGATCGAAAGGTCGCCAGTTCGAGTCTGCACAACGGGGTGAGTTCCCGTTGCTCCGTCCCAGCTCCTGCCAACCTCGCAGTTCGAAAGCATCCAAATGCAAGTAGAGAAAAAGGTACCACTTTGGTGGGAAGGCAGCAGCACTTCGGTGTTTAGTCATGCCGGCCACATGACCCCAGACACTGTCTGTGGACAAACAATGGCTCCCTTGGCTAGGAAACGGAGATGAGCACTGCCCCCTAGAGTCAGGCATGACTGGACATAACGTCAAGGGGAAACCTTTCCCTTTATTGTGCCTTCATGCTGGTACTACTTTCATGTTCATCTTGTCTGCCAGAAGAAGAGAACTTGGGATGGCTGCCAGCAGTAGTGATTCTCTATGCCATGCCTGCTGCTTGCCAGTAGTTTATCTTATGAATGGGAATCACTGAAGAGGGAGCAGCCACTGGGATGAGACATTTCCAGAGGGACAGCCATGTTAGTCTGTTGCTGTAGAAACAGCAAAGGCTTATCCTGTACTACGTGTAGATGAGATGAGGAAGCATCATGGAGCCGGCTTGAGCAGGGTGGTAGTTATTCCCTTAAAACACAGCGGGAAACTTCAGTTGCATTTAAAATGAGAATTTGAAAAAATCAAAGGTAAAAGCAAGCTGCTATCTTCTGCACAAGCCTAGTGCACGCCCATGCTGTGGCCATGCCGCACCATGCGTTAAAGGCCATCCTTGTCTCAGACTGTTGTGCATTCCTCCCATGTGTGTGAACCATTTGGGAGCAGCTTATACATGTTCACGTGTCACGTATTACATGCCATTGCCTAGTCATGCATCAAACAGGTTCATTTCCTGGTTCCATTGCACACAGCATCCATTCATTCTGGCGTGGCATGGACTGGCCTTCAGTGTAACATGTAGGAGAGGCTTTTATGCCAGTTTGGCACTCCTGGGTAATGAAACCAGCAGTAGCCCTAATTCTCCTTGCATCAGATGCAGTAATATGCTTTGAACCATCATTGATTGTGAGGTAACGAGCCTTTTCCACTCACTTTATTGGAGCCAGTCGCTGCTACATATTAGCCTGGCCACCACATTTTGCACCAGCCGCAACCCATCTTCAAGCAAGGCTGGGGAAATTCCAGTCTGAAACCCTGGACAGCCATTGCAGTCCACCCCTCTTAACAATACTGGGCTAGAGGGGCCAATGGCCTGACTCTGCATCAGGCAGCTTCCTGTGTTCCTAAGCACAAGGGGCCCTCTTGCCATGAAGCACCCTCAGACTTGGCAGCCAAGGTTAGAAAAGGCTGCTGTGATTTGACTTCATGCATGATCTCCCAGTTTCTTTGTAATAATGGAGCTCCCATGAACCCCACAGATCTCTGAAACAGGCTTTAGACTGCACCAAGCAGAGCCTGAGGATCTTCATTGACCTGGAAGAAACAGTCAGAACATCACAGGCCTGGCTACAGGCTGGGCGGCTCTACTATCAAATGCAAGAGGATGAACTCGTGGACATGTATTTGCAGGTAGAATGAAACAGGACGGTCAGTCGTTTCCAGTGATTAGCACACTGCCTTGTGGAAGAACAGTGCAAAGATGAGTCTTCAGTCACAGATAAATAGAAAACGGCTGCTGGAAAAAAATCATTGTCTTGACTAATAGGGAAAATGATTTTTCACATGTGTCCTGGAGAGTGTCTAGCACACAGGAGATGCTTTTTCAGAGAAGGTGTTTAGTTGAAGAAGTAGTATCAGCAGTGGCAATATATTTCTCTCAGCTATTCTTGGCATGATGATAAAAAGTCTTAAAATGGTGTATTAAAACATCAGATTCCAAGACAGAAAAGCTCATTCACCAATACTGTGATTATTTTACATTAAGGAATTGCAGATCAGTGTACCTTGCTGGTCTACTTATCAGTGACTGGAGAATTTGGATTTATTGGTATCATGGTTTGGGGTGTAGGGGTGGGGGCGGGAAGCTGAGTGCTAGAAAACAAGGGGTTGAGTATTAGGGCAACATGTCAAATTACAGCAGAAAAAGAATGAGGTGCCATGAAGTGGAACATTACCCCACTGCTTGATGGAGCTGTGCTTTTGAATCTTAAATATGAGCTTTGCTTTTTCTTTCATAATCACAAGGGCTACCAACTACCATTGTAAATAAGGCTTCATGCTTTGTAATAGAAACCTAGACTCTGTGCTTTGAACTCCACTAGTAACGGTATAGATTCCTAAACTCAGTCATTGCAGAAGGATTTTAACATGCAACTTTGTTAACTGCCCAGAGAGCTTTTTGGCCATTGGGCAGCATAAAAATCAATCAATCATCAATCACATCTGAATAGATCTACCCAATAGAATTCATAAGTGATCAATTTTAAGCAACATCCAACATCCTGTTGGCATACGCTGTTGAGTAACATAAATGGGCAGGCAGTGGTGGATGCTGCCTATTGTGAGCAAGCATGAAAATTGCACACGTCCCTAAGGATGACGGCCAAACTTACCATAGCATAGCTTTTGATCATACCCAACACTAATTCTGTGTGACATTGCTGCAGCTCTCTTACCTCTTTTCCAGGCAGCCATACAGACTGCACTAAAACCTGAAGAGCTGCACCTGGCCATGGAACTGTATGAAGAGGCTGGTGATGTCTTCTTCAATGGGATCCGGAACAGACAAAGGGCAGTGGAATATTACAGGGTATGGGCAACTAAAATGGCATTAATCTCTGCATTCACCCAGAATTTCATATGAAGACTTCACATAAGTATTATTGATGTTTTAATGCCTAGTTTTGATGGGTTAACTGATGAGTTTTTCTCTGTTTTTTATCAGGTATTTTAATCTCTGATTTGGTAAACAAGTTAGAGGTACCTTTAGATATAGCAAGTGGTATATAAATTGATAAAATAATGAAAATAACTGATCAGAATAGATTGGAAGAGACCACACAGGAGTGGAGGAAGGAAAGTTATAGTACATGTAGGTGTGAAACTGATTATGAGCAAAATCCGTAAACATGTGCCCTGCACTCATGTGCCAAGAGAGTTGGCTGAGCTGAAGCATGCCAGAATCTGGATACCAAATGGCCAAGGGGACAGGGTAGCTTGTGAAGGCTAGGTGCCCCCCACCCCCACTCCATCACCGTGAAATTCAGGGCCCCTTACAAATATTTCTAGTGTTTGTCCCCAGCAGTCAGACTGCAAACAATTTGTGGCACCCCTACTTCTTCCATTTCTGAAGGTTTTAATTAGTCAAACTAGTCCTTTTCTGCCCACCAGTTCCTGGGCATTACAGTTCTTTGAGATGGTCCTGACATGGTTGGACCAGGGATGGTTGTTCCTGCGATTGCTGCCAGCTGATGCAGAAAAATCTAGGCATACTGCATGGTACTTAGAGTAGCAGAAGCCTTGGCTAAACTGACAAGAAGTTCCAGTAAAAAACAAACAGCAACAATGAAAAACAGTCTTTGGTTCTTCTAGAAGTTCAAGTGATGTGACAGAATAAGTAATCGAAGCTGTGCTTATGCCCATTATGAAGTAGCAGGAAGCCTGCAAGTTGTGAGGCTTGCTGGGTTCAGTGTGACGTGTGAGAAAATGATGATTTGGAGAAACCCAGCCATAGAAAGAAAATACAAATAAGCAGAGTAGGTGGAGAGCAGGGGAGGGAAGACAGAATGTAAGGGCGTATCTCTTTCGTCTTGGCTGTCCTTCCCTTCAAAGGGCTGTTTGACAGGTGGAATGGCCTGGTGGTTGCAGTGGGATGGTATGCTAAGAAATGATGAAGTGACATGAAAACATGAAATTGTCATGAACTGCCCCGAGAGCTTCAGCAACTGGCAGTATTGAAATGAAGTAAATAGATAAAATGTGGCTTCCTGTTTTTGTCAGGGAGGAGCGGTCCCTCTGGCTAGGAAGCTGAAGACAGTGCGGACTGAGCTGAGGATATTTAACAAGCTGACGGAGCTGCAGATTGGACTGCGGAACTATGAGAATGCGCTGGAATGTGCTACCATGGCCGTCAGGCTCAGTGTGGATGTAGGTAGGAAAGAGCTGAGGACTCGTGGCACAGTAAAGTCTAAACCTTATTGTGAAAGCATGGGATGGACATGGAAAGAGTCAGCAATTAGGAAGGCTGCTGCTCCTGAAAAACAAACATGGTTACAGAATCCAAAATAGGTTTTAAATGGTCAAATTGACCCACACTATTAGTGAGTGAGAGAGAGAGAGAGAGAGAGAGAGAGAGAGAGAGAGAGAGAGAGAGAGAGAGAGAGAGAGCGCGCGCGCGCGCAAGCACAAGAGGGCAGAAAATTTGCCCATATATCAAAGTAAGAGAATCTGTATACTTGCAAATTTGGAAGCTAAAGGAATACATCTGCACTTTTTGTCTGTTGAAGGAAGTAATTTTACTGTTCAGAGCTGGGGACACAATCACCATAGAAGAATGGATAAATATTGTTCGCCTTTCCCCAGATGAAGCTTTCTAATATCCTAACCAAGTAATGATTTGAACAGGATTGTACATGACATTCATTGTTAATGGAATATAACATGATTGGCTTTATGTTAATATTGTTGCAGCCAATAGAATCCCTAGTTGAAAGAAATGAATATGTGTTATCAGTGCTTTTTTTGTAAAAAAAAAAAAAGGTGCCGGAATTCACGTCTTGGGGGTCACACTTTTACACAATGGTCGCCGCCGGCTGAGTCAGCGCGTGACCACATGACCGATCCCAAACCGAGCAGCACCCTCACAATCAGCGCCGACAATCATCAGCGCCGACACACAAGCAGCCCGCAGGCACTATGTTAATGATTTCTGCCGCCGATCTGCTACGCCCAACAGGGTGATTCACAATCACTTGGAAAAATCCGTCAAAATAAGGTGCCAGAATGCTGTTGCTGTGTGTTCTGTGAGAAAAAAAGCCCTGCGTGTTATTACCCACTGGATTATACCATTTATCTTGTAGACATTTCGACCAGCCTTTTAACTTGGGCGAGCAATACCGCTGCTGGCCATGGTGCAGTATGTATTCCTTCTAGGGATGACCAGGTTCCATTGTATAAACCCCTTTAGATTGGCTGAATATTATGCATCTCCTCTGATTTTCAGTAGAAAATGCTCAAAATCAGGAAGTTGGCCTGGAAGTCGCACATCTGGTTTCCTCAGATGCAGTTTTGCAGTGTCTATTAAGGCCCAAGAGTAGAGCTGTTCCTCCTGTTCTTTGCTCTGTCTAAATAGTCGTCCTGTACACTGAAAAGCTGTATAGTGTCAAAAGAAGTGCAAAATGGTATAGACCATAATATCAGCAATCCTTTTTAATGGATGGAAAGCTTATCTGACATTGACACCAAGATGAATTTATTCCATCAGCTAGAATTGAAGCAGTTTTTGGGAAGGGGGATTGGAATTCCTTCAAGAACAGTTTGAACCTGTTCATTTAAAAAGACAGTCTTTCAATGCTAAGAAAATATATGGTGGGAAGAGCATTTTATGCACTGAATCTTGGTTCCAGAAATCAAAGTGAAGGTAGTAGCAGAAAGCACCTGGGGTATTGATGCTCTGGAACCATAAAACGAATAAATCTGAGGGGGGAGCAGAATTTAAAGCAAGGGGAATTGGGAAGCATCCTGCTTTCATCCAGCCCTCAGAGCAACTTGTCCTTTCACTTACTCATGACTTGTTGATAGGATGCAGTGGTGCTTTTCTTATTCCAGGAGATCAGTGGCAAGAAGTGGTAGCCTTTCACCGACTAGCAACAGTGTATTATTTTCTGCAAATGTATGAGATGGCAGAGGACTGCTATCTGAGGACACTCTCGCTGCGCTCACCATTGCTGCAAGGTGCTCAGGAAGCCTTGTATTATTCCAAGGTTTACTGCCGTTTGGGAGATCTGACTCTGAACAAATTAAAGGTAACAGACAGTAGTTTGTGACACATGCTATATTGCATCTCACTACAGATGTGAGAAGGTCAGATGCTAACTTGGCCTGGCCTTGCACTTCAGTGAGGCCTTTCGTTCACGCACTAAACTACCTAAACGCTCAGTCTTCAAATGCTGTGACTCGCCCCAGTAAGGTCTCATCATTCATGGTGGCTTTGCGTCCACTTTCTCAGAGGACCTTGCTCTTCTTCCTTTGAAGGGCTGTCTATTCCAATTCCAGTTGAAAGAGCCACTAGAATGGGTGTCCATAAGCATCTGAACAAACAGACACACTGGTCACTATGATGGCATATACTTGTAGAAAGTGCATTACATCTATACTAACACATGCAAAAATGTGCAAATGTGTGCTGTCTTGTGATTTTTCTCTCACTTGGTAGTGTATCACTTCTTTGGGCCATTCATAAGCAGTCCCTGTATTCAGTTAGACCAGCACCAGACTCCTCCTGCTTCATCTTTTCCAAACTCTAAGCCCTCTAACCATCTCTTCCCCAGATACTCTGGCTACCATGCCACTGTGGAGAACCAGTGTGGTACGGTGGCTAGTGTTGGACTGGAGACTCAAGAGATCTGGGTTCTAGTCTCCACTTGGCCCTGAAGTTCACTGGGGGCCTTTGTGCCCCTCACCTAGCCTAGCCCACCTCACAGGGTTCTTGTTGCAAGGATAAAATGGAGTGGAGGAAAACTATTCACTCTGCCTTGGGTTTCTCACATAAGCTAAAAAGGGAGGGATATACAGTAAGTGCAAAGAGCTGATAATCATCTCTTGTCTTGAATTCTCAGGATGAACAAGATGCAGCCAGCTACTTCCTCTTGGCCTTGGCTGCCACTACTGAGCTTCATGATCAGACTTGGCAGGACAAGATTCAGGCCAGGTTGGCTCAAGTAAACAGCACTTCCCAGACAGATAAAAGCCCCAAAGGCTGGACCAGCTATCGAGCCCGATGGCTGAGCGAACGAAGACAAGCTGTGTGATTCACCACCCTGTGGCTCAGAAGCAGCAAAGTGAATCCTCTTACCTCATTGTCGAAGTACTTCCAGGTGCTGCCTTGACCCAAAATGAAGGGAAGAAAGAGACTCCAGTGCTCAGTCTCCCACATTTTTTTAAATTTAATGATGGGAATATAATTTTATTTTAGCAGCAACAGCAATGCTTGTGGAAAAAAAGATCCATTCACACCTAAAGATCTCATTAATTAGATGCACCTAAACTGTGACAAAGTATAAATTTAAAAAACAAGGCAGGATGTAAGCAAGAATGCCCCTCCTGTAATGTGTGTTGGTTGGACTTGGAAGTATCTGGAGCCGATCTCTTAAAAGACGCACAGGAGGAGGTTGCACTTGTGCAACCTCCTCCAGTGCTCAGTCTCCCACATTTTTTTAAATTTAATGATGGGAATATAATTTTATTTTAGCAGCAACAGCAATGCTTGTGGAAAAAAAGATCCATTCACACCTAAAGATCTCATTAATTAGATGCACCTAAACTGTGACAAAGTATAAATTTAAAAAACAAGGCAGGATGTAAGCAAGAATGCCCCTCCTGTAATGTGTGTTGGTTGGACTTGGAAGTATCTGGAGCCGATCTCTTAAAAGACGCACAGGAGGAGGTTGCACTTGTATTCAGCATCAGTGACAAAATGGCAAGTGCACTTTCACATTCCCCGGGAGCTCCGCTGTGCAGAAGGTGCTTGAGAGTGAAAACATATCACTTGCAGGGAGTGCAACTCCTTGCATGTGCATGTTTACACGGTCAGTTATCTGCTCACATTCATTTCTTTTTTCAGTGTTTTTCCTCATGCAAATGAGCTGCATTAGGACCACAGAAGCACGCACAGCAAAAGGCAGAATGTAAGTCAGCAACAAGCATGCACTAAATATGGCTTTAAAGAGTGTCCACACTGTTCTTCAGAGTGCCTGGAGTTGCCAAGTGTCCAGTGGCCTCTGGGCTATAAGAAGAAAGCTCCTGTGTATGCAGATCATTTGAGGTATAGGCTGAATGCCATGGAGGCCGCAGCAGAAACAGAAGGGCAGCAAGTGTAATCAAGGAATTGGAAACTTAACTCATACAAGGAAAGATGGAAGGAACGGGGTATGTTTAGCCTTGTGAAGAGAACACTGAGGTGCAATATGCTAGCATCTTTCAAGTAACTTTAAGGGCCGTCAGGCAGAAGAGGGCTGCAACCTGATCTTTATCATCAGATGAGGAATTCAGATGCCAAATAATGGACTTGTGTTGCAGGAAGGCAGGTTTCACTGAATCTCAGGAAAAATGTCCTAAGGATCAGAGCAGTCAGGAAGTGGAGCCAACTGTTTAGAGAAGTGCTCATTTGTGTTACCAGATGCATCCACATAGAGTCAGGACAGTGGTCAGGAATACTTGGATTGGAACAAGGGCTGTTGGGCAAAGTGGGTCCTTCCAGCCCTGTGATTCTGCTCTGTGCTGCTCCATGATCTGCAGCCTGCGGTCCTCTTTCCTGCCCCCAAGGAGTAGCCGCGTTCCCTGCTCTTTCTCCCTGGATGCTCCTCCAGCCCCTTCCATTGAGGCTCAGGGAAGACCTCCCCCACTAATGCCGTGCTCGCAGCTCTGCCACATGTGTTTTTGGCTGGGCATGCAGCATTGTCCCGCTCAGCTTCTCTCATGCCAAGTGGTGCTTGTTTGTTTTCAAGCAGTTCTACACAGTCATCTGAACTAGAAATGTGGTTTCCTTCAGAAGCAAAATGAAAGCTGAGGTTCTCAGGATGCCTAATGTTGAGCCTACTTTTAAACTGACACTTTTAGAGTTAGAGGCTACTCTTTTGTAGCAATCCTGAAGCCACAGAAAATGCCTTCCATTCTGGACCTTCTGTGTTCTGAGTGACAAATCAAGGCTAGATGTCCTGGAGCCTCTGTTCATACATCCAGGATCTAGCCAGGCTTGGAAATAGGTTGATGAAGATGTTTGATGCAGTGTGGCTGGATTGCATTTCACAATTCTTTTTAAGCACTAAACACCTTCAGTAGGGAAATATATCTAGACTCTGTACAGGGGACAGGATGTGTCTGTGAATCTTGTTTCATGTTCTTAAAAGCATCCCATCTTTGTGCTTCTTCAGAAACATTCCAGGGGAGCTTTGCACATCTGTCCCATTAGGATATGCATGAACTGTGCCTACATTTGCAGTAAATGCCTCTTTTTGTGGAGTCATAATGAAGATGGTGCAAATGTAGAAAAACCCTGAATTGTATGCTCATTTCTCTGCTGGTGGGACCCCAGCAGAATCCTCATCTGCCTGTTTTGTGTCTGCTCGAGTAAGGGGCATATAATGAAGGAACTGGAGAAGTAGGAGTAGTGGATGTAATGAAACTTGCTGTCTTTATGAAGACGTCCTACTTGCCAATAAGGAATGTCATTATGGGACAGGATAACAGTTCTGAATTGCACCAGACACTGCAAGTGTTCTTCCAAGCAGTGCCTCTGAACAAAGGGCCAAGTCCCCAAATAGTTAAATGTGAGGGGCTGTTGATCCATTCTAGGGCAGCTGTTTTCAGGCAGAAGGCCCCAGGCTCAGTCCTTGGCATCTTCCTTGAAAGGGTTTCAAATAGGGGACTGCCTGAGACCTCGGAGAGCCACTGCCACCGGCTGGACTAGATGGACAAGTGGTGTTTTCTTTGTTCATACACAATGCTTAAGTGTTCTTTGTTCATACACAATGCTTAAGTGTCGTGTTGTGGCACTTCTTATCAGTTTGCAATGTATAAGTTCGCTATTTCCTTGTACAGTATCTCATCTCAGCACTAGAGGGCAATAAAGACAGTACTTCCAAGTAATGCCTATTTTCCAGTTCTCATTCCGCGCAAGAATCTGTTTTGAAATTTTGCAGGGTTTCTTAGCAGTCTAAATTCTTAAGCTGTGGAGCATTCCACACCCCACTTTGGTACATCATTCAGTATTATTCCAATCATTGTGCTTTTATACACAACAGCAGAATTCATTCTCCCACTCACCTATCAATTGTGTAGTGAAGCAATTAAAATGGCAAGGCCATGCTTCCAGCAACAAAAAAGTTGGTTTTATGTCCTAAGGGAAAGCTTTTGAAAATAATCTCGATGTACGCAACTTTCATTGAGTGACATTTCTGATTATTATAAGGAAAATCAGATAGGCAATGATACAGGCCAGGAATTTAACTTCCAGCTGGAAAATCATTATTTTACTAAATCTTGAGGAAAGACTCAGATGATTTAAAGTTCTGCATCCAAAACACACATATGCAATATTTCTGAAAACCTCGCACATGTATGTGTATCTTCTCTCTCAAATGTTGCATGTATTCATGCACAGATCTGCCCACTGCCTACCAGCTGCTACCTTTGAACAGCAGGCAAAACTGCTGCTGGGGATGAAGGCCTTTTGGTGTTCTAGGCTGGTTTCAGTTGCACCTGGAAGACTTGCATAATACCCTTAATAATTCTGTGTGCCTATTCCAAAGCTAGACGCACATATGGCATGCATGCATTTACTAGGTCTTCCTTTGAGGAGTTTATATGAACTAACTATGGCTGGGTATGCAATGCAGTGCCCGTGTACCCCAGGATACCCTCAGTCTCTATTTTAAAAATGTTTATAGTTTCGTACTTCTTGCTGGAATTGCGTTGAACCAAAGGGAAAGCTTCTAGCTGCCGCTATCTTAATTTCTCATGGATGCCTTTGTGCAGGTTAGTTTCCTTTTGGGACTAGCCATATGTACCTTTGGCAGTCCTTTACTGCTTGTGTCCTGGACAGCTTCTCTCATTTGCAAATGTGCTCATGGGCCTAGAAGTTCACTTGCCCTGATCTAGGGGGAAATCATGCTGGGTAGCTGAATATGCAGCAGGGACCTAATTTGGTTCCCCACCTTTGTCTTAACAGTGCTTTATTTTTTCAGTGAACTCATGTATTTGGAGTCCAGATTCACAGTTTCTGAACAATTGGAACTGGCAGTACCAGAACTCAGTTCCTTAATTGGCTGGTGTCACAGATGCCAGTAGCTGGAACTGGTGGTGATTTAATCAAATCGCAGCCTTTTGCTGTGATTGCATGATGTTTCTCAAATGCAAATTTCGGCATACAACCCCATATTGAAATATCATTGGAAGTTTTTCTTTTAAGGTTTCCAGAGATTCAAAGTTTCCCCAAGCAACCATTTTCACCTCTCGGAAGTGACTTTAACAAAGCCACAAAGGAAGAGGGTTGAAAAATAATTCTTTCAGCCTTCAAAGCCTGTGAATTCACTGGTAAGGTATATGAAGCACAACCCCAAGCATGATTACTCAAAATAACATCCCACTGAATTCCATTTTCAAGTCGTGTTTTACAGGTTTACAGCCCCTGCTCTGTTTAAGCATTTTAAAAGACTCTTGGCAGTCAGAACCTGGCACTCCTCCAGAAAAATAGGTGGACACATGCACCAACTGAGAATGCAAACCAAGAATGTTGACCTTGTGTGACTGCTTTAACTCACAGCAAAGAATCCTATGTAGCATGGGGGGATCTCCTATTGGGAATGCCCCACATGGCATAATTTCCCTTCTCATCTCCTTTGGAAAACTAGGTTGCTCTCTAGTGCAATCCAAGGTGTTGCTACCTGGAGATCACCACATGCAATACACATTATTATAGTGGACAAATATAATGGCGGTTCGACCAGACAATTGCCAGGTGGTAGATTGCTCCTCCCCCATCGTCATGGTGGCTTCTCTTCTGAAGTCACAACTTCAGCCTGAGAAGTGATGCTGGAGAGGTAAACTAGATGGGGTGAAATGTCCAGAAAAGCCCTCTCTGCTCTTCGTCTCTGCTTGGCTCTTGCTGGCTGACTTTGGTCGGACAGAGGGCTCCCTTAGGCTTGAGCTCTCCGGCACTTGACCATATACGCTGGCTATTTTATCACCTAGATTTTTGGGTAGTGGGAGGATACAGGGTTTCTTCAGCTGTCAGTTCAACATCAATATCATAAATAGAAATGATAATAGCAAAAACTTGTATGGAAAGGAACTAATGCCCAAACTATTGCAATATTCAAAGTTACGGTTTCCATTATTAAAGACAGGCCATGCAGGCATGGATGGCATTGCTGGTGATACCAAGAGGTGTGTCTCCGCAATTGAAGACTGTATAATGGGACAGAACGAGCTGGATAATCTCATGAATGGGAGGAAGCTTAATGGAATGAAATGTCAAGTTGTGTATATGAAGTCTAAAAAGCACTTTGCCCTTCATCTGTTAGACATGATATAGTGGTAGTATGATATTTATATGCAGAGCAATTTAGAAAGAATAAAACATCTACAATACAAAATAAAGCTAACCCCAGGACTAAAATAGCACTTAAACAGCAAATCCATTCAAAGTAGAACAATCTTCAAAAGTAGCAGTTCATGAAATGCTAAAAGCTAAAGGAAGAAAGAGATCTTGCCTTAGTAGGTACCATGGGGATCATAAACCTTTTCTTTTCAGGAAAGTTACTCAAAATGTATGCAGTTTTATTATATAAAAGGCATATAATACATTTGTCATACATTTTATCTATTGATTATTGAAATGTCCTGTTTTCTTTAACAACAATTTAAAACCTTGAAATTATAAATGAATCCCTATTACCAGTACACAGTGCAGATTCATATGGAAGAAGCCCATATTCATTAAATTGTATTTTTCCTAGCTATTTGTTCTCTGACTTCCCATAGACCAACCTTCCATCTTCATTCAACTAAGTAGGAAAAACAAGAAAAAAAAGAGAGAAGTGGTGAGATGGAAGCGGGAGAAGTTTGTTACCTGGGCATGGAGCCACATGAGCTATTATGACACAACAGCTGTTGCTTTGGGGAAATATAGTTGTCATCAAAGCATTTCAGAAAGGCATCTCATATTTCATTTTATAGGGTATCCCTTTATATAAATGTCTTATACCCTTCAAATGCCAATTCTAGGAGTTTATTTATTTTATTTATTTAGAAAATTTCTATGCCATCCCATTCGCCGAAGCCTCGGGGCGGCTTACAAATAAAGTTCTGCTAGCCAGTCATCAGTTTGGGTGGAAAGTTGGATTTCCCAGCCAGTAAAATCAGCAGCTAAAGCTGCATGTTGAATGCAACCTAATTCAGTGCCTGATGAACTGATTTGTGATCTGCCTCTTATATTTACCAAATAAATATAAGAAAATTCATAAATTGTGCCTAGTGTGTGGTTGTTCGGGTTGTCCGGCACATATGCATTAGATTAGCCTCTGATTCTCAATTTCTCCAAGCAATGTTTTGCAAAGCATAATTTGGAAGCATGATTTGGAATGCCTGAACATACTTTTCTGAAGAGGTTGTCTTGTGAGAACTGGGATATCTTCATGAAACCTTTACATGTCCAACAGTGAGGCAACCTACATTTAAGTGTTTACAAGTAAGCCATCCCCATCTAATCTTATCTGCCTGTAGGAAGGCTTGATGTATAGAACAATGTGGCAACTCTGTTCAAAGTCCTACAGAATCTCACAAGGCCAACCAGCTCCAAACACTCTTGGATGAAACCGAGCATGTGGATCTGTTTTGCTCAGGGTTCAGGCCAGGTTTTGGCACAGAAACAGCTTTGGTCACCCAGTATGAGGAAAGATGCCCTATGCCTGGAAAGAGGTGGGTGGGAGTGACCCTCCTGACCATCCTGGATCTCTTGACAGCTTTCTGTTCCATCAGCTACGGTATCTTTCTGGGCTGCTTGGCTGAGTTGGGAGTAGGGAGCACTGCATTGCAGGGGTTCTGCTCCTACTTGGATGGCCAGCTGCAGAAGGTCGTGCTTAGGGGATATTGCTCAGTTCCTTGGATTCACAAATACGCAGTACTTCAGGGTCCCCCGTGCCATTAACTTCTACATGAAACCACTGAGTGGTCTTAGGAGTTTTGGAATGCATCAAGTACACGGATGTCATGCAGCCCTATTTTGCCTTTTCATCTGCAGTAGGTGAGTCTGTGGATGTGCTAAGCTGATACTTGGCTGTGACAATGGAGTCGATGAGAACTAACAAACTGAAGCACAAGCCAGACAAGGCTGAGATGCTGTTAATGGGTGGTTCTTCTGACCACATGGAGGGAATTCAACCTCTTCAGGTTAGGGTCGCATTCCTCATGAAGGAGCACATTTGTAGCTTAGGAGTGCCTTCTACCCACTTTGGCTGGTGGCCCAGCTATGACCTTATCTGAGCAGAGATAGCCTGGTTTTGATAGTCTGTGCTTGGCTAATCTTCAGATTAGATCATTGCACTGCATTCTACATGGTCCCCTGAAGACTGTTCAGAAGCTGCAGCTCCGACACAGTGTGGTAGACAGATTAATGACAGGGACCAGAAGGTCCAAGTGCATAACACCAGTTCTGCCTCCCTTGCATTGTCTTCCCTGTATGTGCCTGAGCCCAGTTCAAGGTGCTTGTTCTGAGCTATAAATCCTTACATGGCTTGGGACCATACACCTGATGGAACCCCTCTCCCAGCCACTATTTACCTGTACTCTACAATCACGATTGGAGGCCTGCCTCCAATTACCACCTTTGAGGGAGGCTCACATGGTGGCAACAAGGAGAAGGGTCTACTCAGTGGCAGCCCCTCAGTTATGGAACAAGTTTCCTACTGAGACTCACCTGGGACCAACTCTAGTCTCTTTTTAGCACCAGGTTAAATTCACATTCCTCTTAAAAACATCAGTTTTAAATGTGACTGTTACATTCGGTATTGTATGTTTATGATGCATTTATTGTTACTTTGTATTCTGTATTGTATTTTATCTGCTGTTGTGAAACACCCAGACAGCTT